CTCGCGGCGCGCCCGCCCCGGGTCAGCGGATCGCCGCCCCGGTGCTTGGCAGAGCGGGATCCGGCACGTCTGCTTTCCCTCCTCCACACCCCGGCGCCGGCTGCTCCCCCCCCCGTACTCCCCGCAGAGATCTGGAGCCTGGGATTTGCGACTCGAACCAGCCGCTGCAGCACGCATGGAAAGCTCAGGGCTTCTCAAATCCACATTAAACATTCATCGCTCTAAAAATAAACGAGCATCCCATTCTCCCTGGAGTCTCCTCTGGGATCCGCAGGGCTGACGCGCAGCAGCGGTGCAGCAAGGGCACTTTGTGCTGCGCCGGCAGCGCTGGGTCTGAGCGCCACCACTCAGGGCCCCGCAGCCGGGCTCGTCCCGGGATGCGCGGGGGCTCTGTACCCCCCCAGCCCCTGCCCAACACCAGCTTCAGCCGCGGGGCTGGCTGCTGGGATCCTTCTGTAACCGCTCCAGTGCCAAAGGCCCTCGGCGCGGGTGGGAACAAGCCCTGCGGCATTTCTCTGCACAGGCTCAGCCCGCAGAAGAGGGGGCAGGCGGAGGGGACGGCCGCACAGCCCAGATCCGCGGGGCCCCCCCGAGCACGGCAGGCTGCCTGCGGGGCTTGGCACTCCAGGGAGCATTTGCAGGCCCCGAGGCCACGCTGCTGCAGAGAAGAGGACGTGGATCAAGAGCCCGGGACTGCTCACGCCAGCCCCTGCACAATCCACCCTGAGTGGGGACAAACAGGACGGCGGGCGGCCATGGCTGCGCTGCTGTGACCTCCTGCCACCCCGGAGAGCGCAGGAGGGGAGCCCGGCCACGCGGGACAGCGGGACACCTCCTCCTCCCTTACCTCTGTTTGTTTTGCTGGGGTAGATTCTCTGGAAGTATTTATACTCTTCTGGGGCTGGGAAGTCTTCAACGGGATGAAAGGAGTATTTGGATTCAAAGTCATCTGCAGAGGGGGAGAAGGGAAGGGTCAGGGAGGGCGGCTCTGGATGAGCGCAGCTAAAACCAAAGGGCTCCAGCTCCAGCCTTGCCCCGGAGAGCAGCAGCCGCTGCCTCCTGTGCAAAAAAAGCAATCAGCTGTGCCGGGGTAACGAGGCTCTGCCGGCCTCTCCCGGCTCCCCCTCGCTCCGCCGCCGGCACAGCCGGTGATCACGCAGCGCGTCCGCCTCCCGACCTACCCCAGCTCCTCGCCAAGCCCTCGCTCTGCTCCGGCCCCGAGGAATCGGGCACCGAGCCAGCTCTGGTCCAACAGCCGGCCGCGCTCGGCTCGGCGTCCGCCCCAAGTCCTCGTGCCCGGCTCCTGGGCTGCAGCTGGACGTGTGGTCCCAGCCCGAGCCGGGATCTGCGACGAGCGAGGAGGAAAGGACCCATCCGGGCTTGCCGGCAAGGTCACCGAGTCCCGGGGGAGATGCATAGATGAGGGTGGGCTGGCGGAGAGAGCGGGGCTGGGGGTATCTGCTCGTCCTGGCGCAGCTGGGAAAACCAAAGACGCTGGGAGTTTCTCATGCAGGGTCCTGGGGGGCAGGGAGGTGGGGAGGGTCCGCTGAGGAAGGGGAAGGTCCGTCTCTCTGCTCAGGAACAGTCTGCCTGCGCAGCCCGCTTTCACCTGGGGATGGGGGGCAGAGGGGGGGCCCCACGCGTAGCTGCAAGACAAGAAAGCCCGTTGAAACCAAAACGCGCAGGGAGATGGCTGGCATGGCGTGCCCCGCGCTGCTGGCTGCTCACCGGCCGCCTGCACCGGTTCAGCGGATCGCCGCCCCGGTGCTTGGCAGAGCGGGATCCGGCACGTCTGCTTTCCCTCCTCCACACCCCCGCGCCGGCTGGTCCCCCCCCCGCACCCCCCCCCG